TACCACACTTGAACAGTGATGACAACAATCTTACACTCTTGTGTCCTACACTTTTGGCTCTCAAACAAAATTCTAAAACCAAAAGAATAACTCCCCATACTACTTTTTGTTTTTTTTCCCTATACTACTTCTGACTCTTTTGGATCTGAGCCATGTCTATCATGGCAGGTCCTCCAACGGGTTCTGTGCCTCTGGTTTACCCTCACCACACACCTCAGCAAAAAACTACTTGTCATTCCCCATCTTCTTTGGTTTTTCCAAGGACACAATAGAACCAATTTCCAAAACAACCCACCTATACAAAAAACATTAACATTAAAAAAAACATTTTTAAGATTAGAATATTCACAATTAAGTTGAACATCACCAGAATTGCATGCTCAATATTTATTGACTAAGACTTAAATTTTCAAAACATGTTTTCCATCCATTTTTACACAACATTTTTGCTGTCTGAAGCACCCCTGCCCTCCCTTCTGCTAGTCAACTCGGCTTTCTAGACGGTCAGGTCCAAAGTCCTATCCTCTGAACATCTTACCCTGATGCATCCTCCTTCCTCACCCTTCAAATCCACTCCCATTGCAGCCTGCGCTTTTCACCAGCACAGCACTGCCACAGGCATTCACAACACGAAGGACGTGGAGTCCACCCTCTGTGGGCTGTGGACATCCTGAGCTGAAGGTGTCCGGCGAAACAGGCAAACGCATTATGGAGCTTCTTAGTTTTTCTGGCTCTTTCTTTACCTGGCTGTTGGCTCATGAATGCACTGACTTTATGAAAACCCACCAATCTTTACACTATGACTTACGCTCTTTTCTGTATGTCAACAGATAGTTGCTAGTAATGGACAGTTTTCTCAAACAGGAAGACAAAGGTACAGCCCTGAATAGAGTCTCTGAAAACACACAATGCACACATGTCTGAGCTCCTATTCCTAAACTGTAATTCCCAGGAGATACCGATGGCCTTCTCTGAAGCAACAGCCAGACCACAATACATTCACAATACATTTAACAGCTATGGAATCTATTTTTAGAGATTCTAGGATCCCCCCCGCCCCCAATCCCCACCCACCCACACCCTCCCAAAAGCCATTCTAAGTATTGTGAATGCAATCCATTCAAAGCTGAGGAAGGAAATTTTCTTGGGTCACAGCAGTTGATGGTGCATATAGGAGGGGCTTCTAATTGTAAGGGAAAGGTAATAGAACACAGCAACATGGATAAACTACAAGCTTAGGTCTACAGCTGTATAAGCAGCACTCTCAACCAGTCCACAGAGCGCTTTCACACACAGCACAGCTCACTCCATCACACCCACTAGAATGCCCAGGATACACAGCAGGAAGCCCCCTCACAATCACCTTTCAACTTAGCGCTGTGGAACAGCCAGGGTGAATCACTGTATCTCCACTTTACACTCAGGGATGCCAGCTCAGGAGGTGTCATTTCCTCCTTCACAGTAGATCCAGGACTGAGAGGCAAAGTCTCTGGTTCCCATGGCACCAAAGGGCCTGGCCTCTCTGCAGTCTTTTCTGCAATACCCACCCTATCCTTTTCGCCAGTGAACATGTGCTGTTAGACCGCAGCACCCCCACTTTCGAGCAGTCCTTCAGTAGAACTCTAGTTTCCATCTAATTTATACTTTATCTAAACAAGGAGGATAAAACGACAGAAATGTAAGAGAAATACAAACTAAACAGATATAAAACTATGACGTGCAGAAACAGGATCCATAACCAACACTATGTACAAAAACAAACTCCTAATGGATTACGAACTGAAATAGTGCACTCTAAAACCATAAAATTCTTAGAAATGACAGGGGAAACACAACGGAGTCGGGCCTAGTCTCTAACAATGGATTATCTAAAATAACGAGCATAAACAGTAAAAAACAAAATTAGGACTTCATAAATATTAAAACTTTTGTTCATGAAAGTATTTT